TGTCTTCCAGAGAAGTTAACATTGACTCAGGAAAGTGCTGTGTATATTTTCAATCACGTCCGCTTTGAAACATTTCAATCCGTTTTGGATTTTAATCCTCCACTTATTACACTTATTATTTTTATTTTCCTTATTTTTATCCCATATTCACTACTAAACTGTTGCATCTTAACAAATCGCTGATCAGATCCAAGATGGATGATGGATGTCAGATTTGTGATTCGGCAAACAAGTACCAGCTAGGTACGTTAGAGAGTATTCAACTTAAAGCACTTTGAACCTGCACGGGAACCCTCATAAAAACATCTCTGGAGGAATTACAAATCATCACTGGGAAACAACCATTGTACATCAGGATGAAGAAACAGATTCTACGTTATGTCATTAGAATTTCATCACATTCCTCTTCCAATTCGCTAAGGCAAGTCATTGAGAAAATTGTCATTGATTTCAATCCGTCATTCTTTAAACATGTCTGCTGCAATGAAGAGACACAGTCTTAAGACTGAATTGAATCTTGACATACTACAGGCGGAAACCAGAGTCAATATCGACCCAACTCCATTGAGAAACACTGCCACTCACATCAACTTTCAATTTAAAAAATGGAAAGGAAACAACATAATCCATGGAAGATTCTGCCAGAGATATTCACTCTACTGGAGGAATTCTATACACAACACATACACATCACATACACGGATACAAATCTCAGGAATCTAATATAACGGCAGCAGTTATAGTGGTACCTGCCCAGAACATCACAATCAGGAACATACTTCCAGCTGGAACATTTATTTATACTGCATAATTATGGGCAATACTAGAGGCACTGAAGTGGATCAAGGTACACAAGCAACTACAGTACCTCATCATTACTGATTCACTAAGTGTACTCAAATCCATTGAAACAGGATCATCTAAAAGCAGGAGAAATATGTTGCAAGAAACTCTGATGTACTTGTTGGCGTTAGAATTCAACCATATTCTTGTCGAATTCATCTGGATCCCTTCTCACACCAGTCTCACTGGAAATGACCAAAGCGGATGCTGCAGCTAAACAAAGTCTTCAGGATACGGAAGTGTCTATCCTAGATCCTAGCACTCAGGAACTTTACAGTGTTGTAACAAAAGCCATCAACCAACAGTGGCAACTTCAGTGGTTTAATTCTGAAAAGGGAAGGAAACTAAATCAACTTCAGCTGAAAGTCCAAAGAGGAAATCCACTTCATCCTAACTTTTCTATCAGAGATCAAAGAATTTTTAACCGACTCAGAAAGGTAAGACTATCGTCAGGACAAGCCATGAATCAGATGCCAACACCAACTGCTACACATGCAACATTCCAGACAGCATCGAACACACACTCAATAACTGACACCAATATTACAAGCCAAGGAACACATTCAGAGATTTTCAGAAAAGGATAGGAGCACCGACTACATACCCCTATTTCCTCAACGGAAAGAAAACCCCCAATCTACAGAGAACCTGCAATAACCTCATCGTATTTCTACAGAATGTTAACAAATATTACCTAATATAACCTTTTTCATTTTATATAGCCTTTTAATAAATACCACTCCGTCTTCACTGGAAATTATATTATTACCCATTTCGTCTACTACCATTAATGATATATTAATGAATAAATTATTTAGCATAATATTCTTCATTCTTCTCTTCACAGCCTATGAATCATTCTATGAATTTTAATTACATAAATCTCCATATGGTTATGATTCCTACACTCATAATTAAAATATACTACATTGTTGACTCATTGTTCATATTATGACATGATTCTTAGATTCGTGCAATAGACAAATCCCCAACTTTTTGTCTTATTACTCATGTCATGCCAAAATTGCACTAATTACTATCTACTTAATCCGCATATATTGCAATACCCATAAATGAAATAAATTAGTCATTTGTAAATTTGTATTATTATTTATACCGTGCTAAAAATAATGATTTTTGATTTAATTAAGTCTTAGTATTATCTTTTCAGACTTAAAATGTCTTATAGTATTCTTTGTGATATAATTTACTCTTTATAGTTGTACTTACACACATTTTGACAAACATAGTATATAGGATATGACAATCACCAGGACATTAACTAAAAACCTGACAATATATATATATATATATATATATATATATATATATATATATATATATATATATATATATATATATATATATATATATATATATATATATATATGTGTGTGTGTGTGTGTGTGTGTGTGTGTGTGTGTGTGTGTGTTTGTTTGTGTGTCGTGCTACGCAAGGCTATAACAATTTTTTCTTCACCTTTTATACAATTAAACTCATCATTAGATTTAAAGAAGATTTTGTTTCAGTTATGCAACAAGATTCAAGAAGTAGTGATTATTCAGAAAAGATTTAACTTTCAAATTGCTACTCGCCACGGGCAAGGAGAATCTACATGTGGAATTAATATTGCACACACAAATATACACACAATTCCCATTTCCTCCATACACACACACACAAATATCTTGGCACCATACCATTAACGTGTAGATCAGGTAACATCTCGTCTGCTGCATCCAAACTTCCTATATGCATTCAAGAGGTGTTTCAGGTAGCTCTCCCTGATACTTCAAACCCCTGCCCACACTCACACACAAATACCATAAGAAGCAAACCACACTACTTCAAGTTAAGGGCCAGTCACATACCTCCCAGACTGCCCCACAAAACTCCCATTCCCCTCACACACACACACACACACACACACACACACACACACACACACACACACACACACCTGGCACTTAGGTGTGGTATCGTAATAGCGAGGGACAGTCCAAGACACATTCCTACTTCTGACCGAAATATCGGACAAGCGTCACAACTAGCTCCCGGAGAGAGAGGGTTAATCCGGACAAGCATCAAAACCTCTTCCGATGGAAGATTGATCAAACAAGGTCTTTGTTTCATTTCAGAAGACCAAACATTACCCATCATGATCCTTTGGAGTGTGTCCAAATCATAAAGCCATATTCCCAAGCGGTGACACAATTGCACAGGACGGCATACACCCAGAAGATTGGAATAATTTAGATTTTAAAAATACGCTAACTACACAAAATTCCAACATAACAGTTTATAAAAATTCACCACTCAGGTCTATTTGACACAATTGCACAGGTGGCTCACATAATTCTGGCATATGGACATCCATAGTAACAACTTGATACAAATTGCTAACAGTGATATAGGGATGGAAAGCCATTTAGGGGGCATGGATATCCTTTTTGGGTCACTTGGAGCAACTAAGAGGAGAACAAACATCATGGGAGGTACGGCTAGTGGAAGCTTCCACCGTATGGGGATGGCTGGCCGGTGTCTTTGGTTTTGTGGGTTCTTATTTTGGGACTTTGGGGCGGCGGGGCTGGGGTTGTTGGGACCGAGGCTGTTGTGCTGTCTGCCGTTTGGCGTCCGGTTATGGTGGCGTGCACTTTGAGGGTAAATAAGGTCATTATAAGATCTCTGATCCAGCCAGGGATCAGGAATAGGCCCAGTTCTTGGATCAAGCGCCCTCTTAAAGGGATTGTGGTCCATGACTGGTATCTTAAGCAGTCGCAGAAGCCATCGAGCAATACGCGCCTTAAAGCCACTATATGTGTCGTCCACTAAATGCAAAGTACATACAAGGGCAGATCTGTCATAATAAGTAAGCCACACTATGTACATTCAAAAGAGAACCTCAAAGGGAGAACTCTGTCCCTGAGCTTTTCCAAATTATGAAACTGAAAATCAAAACAGAAAACAGATTTTTACCGATACATAAGTAGTGAAGGGGGATGTATTTGATTTCTTCTTACATATTATAGAGTTCGTAAAAATAATTTCAATCAGCTTTTTCATTTCAATCCACTTTACTTCACTTTAGATTTTAGAACGTTTTCAGTCACGTCCACGTGAAAACAATTTCAATCCGTTTTTCATTTCAATCCGATTTAGAACTTTTAACACCATTTTTCGAAACTGCAAACAGACCGTTCTATCCATAGATAAGCCGTAAAATGCCCACTCAAAAGAGAATCCAAAAAGAAGACATTGTCTCTCTACAAGAAAAATCTAATACAAAATATTATAATAAATATTTGAACTGAGACCATTTACCACTAATTTCTCAACCCAGATGTTAAGAAGCTTCAACCATTTCCCGCCAAATTTCAATCCCTCTGTTTGAAGCCAACTTTCAACCCCTTTCCACATTAGTTGACAACAACTAAATGAGACCTACTCCTCCATAGATACTACGGCATCACCAAACTAATATTAAAGCGCGCTTTGGTACTATTAATAAAACACAAGAAATATATGCTATTTCACATACAAAAAAGCAAAACATACACACATCAAATACAAACAATGCTGTAAAAACAGCAAAATTTTCTATCGGTCTCTATTTTGTTGTCCATTACTGTAAGAAACATTTTGTTGGACACGTATACGATTAATTAGATTTATGAAGGCCTGCGAGTTTTTAATTCGCCAAAATGCACTGATTGGTACAGTTTCTGTCATGAGTTAGAGACATTCAATTACAGCTAAATATGTTTAAACGGAACATGTTAGAGGTCTACTTCTCATCTGTACGGAAAACTGTCATTTCTGAAGGTTACCAGGAGCCAGTTGGGTAATCAATGTTGTCATATGAACTGCGTTATTTTGAGCTAGTTCAGGCAGGAATAAGAAAAACAATAACAAAATGTGATGTTATTATGATTTTTTAACGTAGCTTTAACATTTTTTCAGTCATATCGCTACGATGTCTAGCAGTGTTGCAGGTTTATAGTGATGTCTAGCACTGGGGCATCATGCCGCAGACATGTAGCATGATGTCCCACCCAGTCACATTATCCTGATACTAGGCCACCCAGTCCTAACACCAACCTCTTAATGCTGCGCGCCAAGCGAGGCAGCTGTTAGTACCATTTTTGTAAGTCCTTGGTATGACTCGACCGGGGATGGAACCCACGACCTCTCGCACCCGAGGCAGACGATCTAACCACTAAGCCACGAAGCAGTTACAATAAAAAAAAAAAAAGCAATGCAGCTAAAATAAAAGCATACTCAAAATATGCACACATGGACCATGACTCTGGCAAAGTCAATACGTGAACAAACAATTAAAGGCATAGTGAAGGAAACTCCATTCATGACTTAATAGAGACTGAGGGGCAGTACAACAGTAGTTCGAAGCGAGGGAAGATAGAAACTAGATCCACTGTCAACCCCAGACAAAGGGAAGTGGGTATATCGATACCAAGCTTCCTTGGGATCATGAAACTAAATAATATGGTGAACAAAAAAACAAAGCAACCATGTCAAAATTCTGTATACAAACACACAGATACTGATAACACTATTGGGTGGACACAGGGAATCCCTCCCATTAAGACATTTTCGGAAAACAATGGTGTCACTGCTATATCCTAACCGGCCATATATACTGGGATTAGGCCAGTGCTTGATTTAGGACAAATGAGGCCCAGTGCTACGTAAGTTATGCTGACCCTTACTTGGGCCCAGAAGGAGGTAGGCCTGGGAGGAGGCCTACACAGGTAGTCAGGTATATATATATATATATATATATATATATATATATATATATATATATATATATATATATATATATATATATATATATATATATATATATATATATATATACATATATACTTTTGAAAAATTAATTGCAAAATTTATTTTATTTTTTTTGCCAAGAGGACGGGCACCCTGACCAATAGGGACCCTGTTCTTAAGCACACCTAAGCACCAGTTAAAGTGCAACAGCCATGAATAAGTAGACTTTGATTAAACTATGTTAGTATAATATTCTGGAACAACTATTAAAATAAGATCAGTCTATGCGCCTACTACATTGTTGAGTCGTCGATGATGATATTGAATTTAAGAGGTGTTGATTGTGTTTGTACCACTAACGCTGACACATCTTTTCTCCAAAGTTATTTATAGTAGCTTATTTACAAACAAAGTCTCATGTCTTGCGAGTATATTCATGCGCGCAACTTACTCTACGTCCAAATGATTATGCACTCTTCTACAAATATTTCCATTTTATTTGCGACAAATGCAAAAGAAACTATTCGTCAGATATAATATAAAGCTGTTGAGAGACAGATTTTCAGAAATTCAAAATTTACACCAGAATTATTTCGCGACGAGTATTAATTAGCAGTGATAAGATATACTTTCGGAGAAGATTGATCAGTTGAACTAGTAGGGAACTGTCGACACAAATATCAGGTACATTAATTGATTATAACTGTAGATTTTTACTGTTATTAGCACCATTATGGCAGCATCTGAGATGACAACAACAGATTAGGGAAAGTCGAGAAGCGAAGAATATGGTACAACAAATTACTTGAAGTTGCGAAGCTTTCCTCTGAAAACAAAATGGCGCTGTATTTAGGCACTATAAATTTAATGTGGGCTTTCCCGTAAACGAACATCCCAATTTACATATCGCATAAAATGCGACAAACGTTAAATTATTGTCAATTGTATTATTCTGCTTTGTTCAAATCACACGAGTATCTATTAATAACTTATTCAATATAGAAGCTCACAGGACTCGTATCTTTGCTTTAGATTTAACCAAAATTGCAAAGAATCGGATGAATCGGGTCATATTCCTAACAACTGAGGTCACTGACATGACAACAACAATTATGGTACTGAAGACAGATAATGCGTTGCTGAATAAGATGTGGGGAGCAATCATTCGGGTTTTGCAACAAGTTTCTTTATTTTAAAAGCATCCATTTCTAGTCACAGGTACTCGACGCAAGCTTGATGTTAAAAAACCCAATAATCTTAAGGAAAAAGTCATACAGTGACAAAAATATCTCAGATTACTCCCATGACCCGTTTTGACATTGGACCTCTCTCTCATACTATAAAAGAGACAAGGTTTGTAACTTCAGAACACTTCGTTCCACCCATGACCCTAGATTTCCTTTTGCTATTTTCGTCTGTAAAGGTATGTGATCATATTCTATGGCTTGTTTTACTCCTGAGATATTTTTCTATCCATCAAACCATTGTTGACTATTTTATATTGCACCAAACTAAAGTTACAGGCTCCAAAACGTGAATATCGCGAATTTTGTCTGAGTAAAACAAAGCTTTAGTAAGTCTACATTTGGAGTATGCATTGACCATTTGGGACCCATCTACCTAATCTAACATTGCCAATCATGAAGCAGCACTACAGAGGGTAGCACAATTTACTATTGGTAATTATTGGCAAACCAGCAATGAAACCACCATGCTTCATCATTTGGGATGGGAAGAGTTTCAAGTCTGATGATAACAAGTAAAACCTGTTATGATGTGCCAGATTGTATTCCAGCTATAGTACAAGTCACATGGGTCATGTATGCACATTTACTCATTTTGAATTAAATTGTTCTTTTAAAATTCTCACACTAGAATTTAACACAAATTTTCTTTAATGAAAGTCTTTTCAATCCTGATGCTCTGTACCAAAACTGTCATCAAGAAACTTGTAGACAAAATTTATTGCTATAGACTTTTACAGTGGTGGCCATGTACTAAGCTTCGGTCAAAATAAAAGGCTGTCAAGTGGAATCATCACAATTGAGGGTAGTAAGAATTTGTTTACCAATATGTGTAGCTTTCATTGTGATATTACAGAGTGCAACTTTCAATCTGGATTATACTGGATCACTCCTTTAGGTTGGTTTTATCAAAAAATACCTACATATTTTAATATTGATTTTGTCATATACACCTATCAAGGCATCTTAATAATGACCTTCCAAAGGAATATGGATGTATTCAAGTCTGATGATAACAAGTAAAACCTGTTATGATGTGCCAGATTGTATTCCAGCTATAGTACAAGTCACATGGGTCATGTATGCACATTTACTCATTTTGAATTAAATTGTTTTTTTAAAATTCTCACACTAGAATTTAACACAAATTTTCTTTAAAGAAAGTCTTTTCAATCCTGATGCTCTGTACCAAAACTGTAATCAAGAAACTTGTAGACAAAAATTATTGCTATAGACTTTTACAGCGGTGGCCATGTACTAAGCTTCGGTCAAAATAAGAGGCTGTCAAGTGGAATCTTCACAATTGAGGGTAGTAAGAATTTGTTTACCAATATGTGTAGCTTTCATTGTGACATCACAGAGTGCAACTTTCAATCTGGATTATACTGGATCACTCCTTTAGGTTGGTTTTATCAAAAAATACCTACATATTTTAATATTGATTTTGTCATATGCACCTATCAAGGCATCTTAATAATGACCTTCCAAAGGAATATGGATGTATTCAAATCCAAATGAAGTGAATACTTGCCACTTAAAGGTATGTAGAATAAAATTCTTAAAAATTTTCTCCATTACTGAAATAGTCTCTGTTGAATGCATACATACTTGTAATATAGTTGACATCCAAGTAGCACTATACCTTCACTAGACAAAAGCTTTCACTAGAGGACATTTATGCAGATTTTTTGTCTGTTTCACCATACAACACATACAAGAACTCTTTCCCAACAGGTATCCACCTGTGGAACTCACTACCATCCAACATAGTTGACGACAAATCCATCAATGCTCTCAGAGCTGGGGGTTTGCATAAAGATCATTTAGCTCCCTTCCAGACATGCTTTTAACTTGTTTATAGCTGTACTTGGACCTCCCACATGTGCATATTTCACATGTCAAGTATGCTCCAGATGAACTTGGCACATTATTGGGAAAAGTGGTTACTGACTACTTTTAGCTGACTCTAAACTGTTTTTTTTATTTTAATAAAATTCTCATTCTAGCTAATGGTATGTTTTCAAGTTCTGTTGGTAAATAATTTGCCACCATGTTTTATGTTTGAATTTTGGTACTAATTCACATGGATTTTATAAAGTTTTGAATAGAATTTTAACTAGCTGCCAAAATATATTTTTTGCATTGTTCTGTAATTGTGGCATGTATTATATATTTCAATTTTTATTCCCAGATTACACTATTTTGCCACTAATCATACTTCACCTCTTAAGAGGCATTTATGAATATATGCAAAAATATCTTCTTTAAAGAGATTTTTCTTTAACCAGATGTAAAACAGATGATTAATTTGCTTTTGCTTTAATGGAAGCATACAATTTGAACTTTCCCAGGGGAGAGGGCATAATTGACTCAAGATTTTCATATCCTGGCAATAATTTTACTCAAAATCTCAAACTTCATATCCTTTTGGGAAAGATTCACCTGTCCATTTGCAATTCAGACCAATTTGCTTTAGGTCTTCAGCCAATAATTCTAATAAATGAAACAATCTCTGGTTATGAAACCAGTAACGTTGACAAGGAAAATATAGTGAGAACCACAGACTCACAGGAAGCTACTGGCAAGCTTTCTTGCATACCATTATTGGTTGTACAAAGACACGACCCCATACTGACATGAGGTGAGATGTCAGTGATAATAAATGTTAGCTCCTACACCACTCTGCCACTCAGAGCTGTTAGCAATAAATAATTGAGTTTCAAAGTAAATGATTTCATTGAAAAGTGAGTTTTTAGAAAGAATTGAGCTTTAGTTAAGTTATATATTTAAACAAGTCACTGTTAACACCTGTATGTGGTATAGTAATTGTTCTCTTAAAAGTCATTTTCAAATGCATAGAGCCTAATCTGCCATCAAATAATGCAGTGGTTGATCATTGTTATAGTTATTACTCCTAACAAACTGTTGTTTGCATTTGGACTCGATTTATAGTTTTTTATATACATCATTATTCCAAACCATGCAAAATGCTGTTTATATCTAAGTATTGTTCTGTGTTTATCAAATTTAATTTATTTTATTGACATTCGCAGTCATGAATATGAAAACACCCAAAAGTCTGCTTGATGATGACACAGAGGGGGAGAATGTACCTCACATGGTGGTGCAAGCTGTAGAATACACTGAGCATGAATGGACAGAAGATGAATTAGAGGACATTGACAGACAGGTAGTT